ACAATAAGAGACAGAGCTGCTGGCAGTTTAGATGTCTTCTCTCCTGATGTAGTACTGCCTGACTTGCTGTCTACTGCTGCTTTGAATGAATGAGAGTGGCGGCCATTAGCTGGTCTACTGGAGGCAGCTTGACGGTAGTTCCACAATCCAATACTTGCTCTCCATTGAGAGACATCAATCATCTTGTAATTATTAGTAAAAGTATAATTAAAATGAACTATAATATACTTACCTCTATCACTGTTAATGATCAAATGTTGTAAGATAAAGAAATGAAAAGATACAGTCAAAAGTACAAGCCAGAGGTACAAGCCAATTATGCTGCAGTTGCAAAGAGGGCGTGTCTCCTTAACCACAAACCTAATTAACCACACCTCCTTATAGCTCAAACAGCTTGAGTGAATAGAGGATATGCGTGCTAAGTATACTACCCGTAATTTGCCTTTTTTTCGTACAAAAATTTTTCGTTTCAGAAAAATTCAAGTGGAAATATTTTCGTCTTCTCATAGTGTACGAAAATTTTTACAGTCTGAAAATTTAGCTTCTCTTGCATATACCTTGTCCTTTACCTACTGGTAACAAGGCCGCTATAGTAGTGTTTATAATTCTTGAGATAAGAGATTCTTGACCTGGCTGTTCCCCGACATTACTAGTATACGGATAGTACTGGAGATGCAGCAATGACCAATTTACGGATAATAAACGGAAACATTAAATGGCTACTTTTGTCACATGGTGGACCGTTTTATTTTATAATTCAGTAGTGAAGCAACTGATTGAAGTACAGCAAGCACCAGTGGATAGAGCAAGGTTAGAGCTGCAAGAAGATACCTACTTATCAGGCCGTACCTTAGTCTTTCTTTGATGAATTAGGTCACAAATTTTGGTTGCTCAAAAATTTTCGATTGAAATATTTTCGTCATTTTAGGACCATACGAAAATATTTCCACAACGAAAAAAAGGCAAATTACGGTATATCCCAGTTCAGTTTGGGACGGAAGTGGAAGCAGCTGCGTGGAATTTGAAAAATGTAGCTACCGTCACAAAAATGACGTATTTTAATGATATTCATAGAAGCATGGCGGCTGCGTTGTTTCACTCTTAAAACAGTCTTGTTCTTCCTGATAAGCAGTACAACAGCTACTGGAGTCAACTAGTCTTCATAAAGGCCATCATTATCAGAAGATCTTGCTCTGTTAGCTTTTTAAAACAAGAATTATCAGTTTGTGCTCTCGACCACATGTTCTTATGTAAACTATGACGTAGATAAATTGTCATAATACGTCATTTTGGTATGCCATTGGGTTTATAGGGAGAACCCGGTTCTCAGGGTTCCCAAGAGCTCAGAGACCCAAGATTTCACAGATTTTGATGGACTTTGGCGATTAAGAACCTGTGAAAGTTTCATTCTTATCCCACATTCCTATAAAAGTTATTCCAGTTTTTCTTGTCCCAAACTCAACTGGGATATAGTATAATTCATTGCAAAATAATTATTTCATTGCATACCGTAATAACTTTCAAGAAAAAAATTAGTTCGTTGGACGTCAACTTTCCATTGGCAGCAATGGAGAAATGATAGAAAAAGGCTTGGTACCAGGAAACCGCTCTGTATTTCTTGATAGCAATCTTTCAGGTGACTACTAGACCCCATTAGATCCTCAGGATGCTTTCTAAGCTTCCGAAAAAGGCCTCAAGAAGGTAGCAAGGCAAGAAAATGTGTTCTCCCCCATTGAACTCTTAATAAACTTGACGTCCAACATGGCGGCCAATTTACTGTGTGGGTTGGATATACGGTACTAAAAAGCTATGAATATACTTAGCACGCATATCCTCTATTTGATCATAATAAAAGCAAAAAAGAGACACATAAATAAGAGTGGGACACAGTGAAGTTATATCATCATCATTATTATTGTTAATGTCTAAAAGTTTTCTTTTCTAAATTTAAATCCATGATATTGAGACTTCACTGATAATACTCTAGCCAGTACTGGTGACCCACAATAGAATACTGTCACTGGTCCATATCCACTCTCCTTTAGCTCTTCAAATATCTATTAATAACACATTAACCAACAACTCAATATAATTAATAATACATACATGTATCAGTGCATTACTTAAGGTGGGCACTACAATAGGTCAGTGTAGCATCAATTCTTAATCAAATGTGTGGGCGGTTTGACCTTTTGACCTTAAGCTAGAGTTGAACTAAATTCTATTCCCCAGCATTAACATATAGACCTAGTGTAATATTGTAAACCAATGATTAGACACTAACCACACACTAACTACTCCTATCCTATACATATACATGTACATGTACACCTGCTAATATTGGTGGAATATAATATACAAGTGTATTTTGTTATTTATTTATAATATTGTTGGTTGTTATACACATGTATATATATATTGGTACCATTTGGTGGTGTATAATAGTCATTAAGTATTGTCAGTATAGACCAGTAATACTACACTACCTGACTACCAGTACTATCAGTTATACAGTATCACCATATCTCTCTTCTTTCACCCTCTCCCTCCCTCTCTCTCTCTCCTATATTACCTTATCCCAGTTAGGTCTACCAGTCTGTGTCCTGGTCTTCAGTCCAGTTATAAGATCAATGTTCTTTTCTTTGTGTATCAGATCAAGAGCCATTTGTAGTCCTAATGCTTTAACATCAGTCCTTTCAAAGCTGATGTGATGTACATGTGCATATCAAGGAACCGATCCATTAGTGTTCCATATTCATTCTGTTCCATTTCCAGTTCATTCAGTAGCTCCATGAACCACTCAAAGTGTCTCTGGTCACGATTGATCCAAATGAAATCAACCTAGCAATGATTCATAATACTTATCATTATTCAGTTTTAAAATGGTCGTAACTTGAAAAATTGAAGTTGGAATCAGCTCAAACTTTCTACATAGCATAAGGACATCAATTTGTATCAGAAAATGTAATAAAAATTTGGTATAATTTCAGGGTCATTTTTTGGAAAAAAGCATGGGCTACAGCTAGTACAGGGAAATTTTTGAAAATTAGCTAATTTCTTAAAATGGCTATAACATCACACTGTACATATGCATCAATACAGTCCCTTATGGCAACTGTTGCTATGGTGATGGTTTGTGTAGGTGTTTGTAGGAAACTTGTATGGATTCTGTTTTTGATTTATTTAGTGTTGTACCATTGAAAATGTATTTTTGACAACATATAATTATACAAACTACACTTTGGTACAAGAAAGTGTCTCTGTTATACAGAGGTGTCCTTTATGTGGAGGTATTTTATACAGTAAGGAATGTAATTGGTACACTAGGTGCTGTCCGTTAAATGGAGGTGTACGCTATAGAGAATGTCCATTAAGAGAGACTATACTGTATACATGTACATTAGCACATACAAGTACATGTGTATTATATATGTACATGTACATGTTTATCAATGTACCTTGAATTCAGTCTTATATTCCCAGTGCTTGCTATCTTGTGTGGTGGTATTTTATTGAACAGTTCAACTGAATTGTGTACTAGTTCATTGACGCCAAATTCCTCGGGAAAGTTTGACAAGAAACCATGAACAGAACTCATCTCACAGTCCTGTTCTAATACTTCAGACCTATGACTGTTAATTAACTATTAATAATAATTAATTTACCAGTCAAAATACAAAAATACAAAATAGTTAAAATTTATTGTAAAGTTATAGGCACATGTAAATGTACATACTGATGCCCTTATGCTGTGTAGAAACTTTAAGCTAATTCTGACTTCAATTCTTTAAGTTAAGGCTATTTTAAGAAAATGCCAAAAAACCAAAAAACACCCAAGGCTATAGCCCATGGTTTTTTCAAAAAATGGCTCAGAAATCATCCCAAATTTTTATTACATTTTCTGATACATATTGATGTTCTTATGCTGTGTAGAAAGTTTGAACTGATTCCGACTTGAATCTTTCAAGTTACAGCAATTTTAAAAATAGGCCAAAAACTGAAAAATACCCAAGGCTATAGCCCACGGTTTTTTCAAAAAAAATGGCTCCAAAATCATCCCAAATTTTTATTACATTTTCTGATACATATTGATGTACTTATGCTGTGTAGAAAGTTTGAGCTAACAATTTTTCGAGTTACTGCCATTTTTTAAAAATGGCCAAAGTCTGAAAAATACCCAAAGCTATAGCCCACGGTTTTTTTCCATAAAAATGGCTCCGAAATCATTCCAAATTTTATTATATTTTCTGATACATATTGATGTCCTTACGTTGTGTAGAAAGTTTGAGCTCACACAATAACTATTAATAACTATTAATAATGATTTTTAATAACTTACAACAGTATTGGCATCAGTGGGTGAGATGCTAAGAATAGATATCA